TGCTGCATCTTCTCTCTGCAAACCCAACTTCCCACAGAGCATCCAAAGCTCGACCGCAGCGTGGCTGCATGGAAATCACCACAGTGAGGACACAGGGAATGCCTCAGCCTTTATCCTCCTCCTCCTTCCCTCTGCAAGGCATCTTCTGCCACATCTTCTCCCTATAATGTTACCCAGCAGTTTTGTTTTCCCAGGCAGGTGGGGCTTTGCACCCAGACTGGTGCTGGGGAGAGGAAGTGTGGCTGCAAAGGATGCATGTGCAGTGGGAATGGTGAGGGCTTCCACCACCAGCCCCACAACACTTACAGGAGTCAAGAGATGCTCTTCTGAAATGTGTCTGTGAGATGCTTTGAACTGCTCTTGCTCCCTTCCACCAAAACACCCTGAGTCAGCAGAAGGCTTGGAAAATACTGACCTCTGCATTTGTAAACTCTCTGGATTTCTCATCCCTGCACCACACATGCTGTTTTCCTCTGTCCCAGACCAGATCAGATCTTGCTTGTGGCTTATTCCACGTTCTACCATGGACCCAGACACCTTCCTTTCACAGTGGGGAGTTCTCCCTCCCAAACCAGCTCTTCCACCCTGAGGCTGTCTCTGGGCAGGAACTGGGCTGACTCCTCTCTCGTGGGATGGATGGGCCCCAGAGCAGCAGGCAAGTGATGCCCAGGCAGACCGGCTGCCTTGGCATGGCACTGGCTCCCTCCTGGGAAAAGCTATCATGCAGCCAGAGGAGGAAAAACAAAGAGATGGGAGGCAAAGCTTTGCAGCTTTTTGTGACATTCCCTGAGCTGCTGCGCTCAGGAAAATGCATTTCAGGATGAGCCAACTGCACCCTGCAAACACCCCTTGAGCCATCCTCTTCCCAGCTCACCTCAAGTGTTTCCTGCATGAAACTTCTGCAAGTAAATGGGGAGTTTGGGTTTTGTTAAAACCCAGTAGCTTGCATTAAAGCAACTCGTGCTCCTGCCAGCCTGCAACCTGGAAAAAGCTTGGCTGCTGCCACTTTGACCCACTGAGGTCCCAGCGGAGAAGTGGTGATTTGACAGACTGTCCCAAACTTGGGAAAACAATGGCACTGGAGTGCAAGCAGTGGGAGAAAAGCTCTTTCTGCTGCAGTTGGAAGGCACCTTGTGCAGCTGAGTACCAGTGTCTCAGCCTGCTTTATCCCTCTGCTGTCCTTTTCACAGCCCCCTTTCAAACACCCCCAGCTACTGGAAAGGTGTCAGAAAAGGAGCGGGGGGCAATAAAAGAATGGGAAAAGAGTAGAGCTGCTAGGAAAAGGGGGAGCAGGCACATGGCAGGCAGCCTGCCACCTCCTCCCCAGCACAGGGGGCTCGGCCCAGAACGTACCATTTAGCCTTTCCACAGGGACAAAGCCTGGGAAACACATCCCCAGGGGGCTCGACCTCTCACTCCAGGGGGACACAGCTCCGGGGCACTGCGGCACTGGCAGAGCCCGGGAAGGGGCTCAGGGCCCCTCGGCTTTGCATGCTCAGGCTGTCCCCATCTCTCTCCCACCCTCCCAGAAAGGAGGAGGGGGCTGGCAGCCGGCAGAGTGCGGTGGGAGAGGCGCAAGGCAGGCGTGCGGAAGTCAGAGCCCGGGCTCGGCCAGCCGGTGAGAGGTAGGGAGCCCGAACCCCTGCAGCAAACCCAGTGCCGGCCCCCCGGGCTCTCCCCGAGGGGTGAGAGACAGACCCCCGGCTGTGCCTTCAGCCCTCCAGCCTCCCGGGGAAAGAGCTGCAAATGGGGGGAGATGCAAAGTTTGGGGTGGGAGTGAGGTCAGGTATCCCTTCTCCCTCCCCCGCTTCGCGTTGCTTTGTCTGTCCCGGTGGTGGGGAAGTCCTGTGGCTGCAGCTCTGCCGCTTAACAACCAGGGAGATGGGGAAAAGCATCACTCACAGTCCTCTGCTTTCGGTACCCGCTCATCCGGGTCGGGAAGCTGGGTGTTTGGTACCCTCCAGCATCACCTCCTCCCGCACGTGGAAAGACTTAGTGTGTTGGGAAAAGCTGGGGAGCTCCAGGAAAGCGCCGCTAAGCAAGACAGGGAGGGGAAATGGAGCTGCTTTTCACCAGAGCTCTGTTACAGGCAGTGCCTGAAAACAGCGTCTTCCTTGCAGGTTGAGGAAAGGAAGAGAAAGCATATGGAAAAGCTCACGCCAAACTAGGCAGCTGGGCCAGGCCAGGGAGCAGTGCCTGGTGCTGGGCAGGATAACCCTCTCCACTGCTCATGCATGACAACCATTTCTTCTTCCTTTCCACCTTCCCCAGGGGCATTTTACCTTTTGCAATTTCTCATCTTTCCCTCTGATCCTCAGCTGCCTCGTGCCCAGGGCTGGGTCCTGAGCGCTCATGGGGATGTGTCATGTTTGGAACTGATCAGGCAGGGATGAGCCTTCTGGGGAGGATTTCCAGGAAGGACAAACCTCGTGTTAACCCACCAGGGTTGATAATGTGGGGCTTGGGTGGGACAGTGATGCTATGAAAGCCCAGACTTTCTCTGGACCTGCAGCTCTGCCGCTGATCTGGGCATGAGGAGAGGCTGGATGGGAAGCAAGAGAACAGGGCACGGCTGAAAAAGCCTGGGAAAACATCAGTTACCCCTCCTGATGGGTTTCTATGGAACACTGTCAAGTGAATTTAAAACACAAACTGCAGCCAGGACCAAGGGAGTGAAAAACAGCCTGAAGGAATTGCCCACGCCTCCCCGTTGGCTCTTAAGGAACAATGTAAGGTCACCAAGCTGAACACGTGCAGTCAGTAAATGCCAGCGTTGAGGTAGCCCTGGAAACCTTGATTCAGGCTGCCTTTGGTGTGGGATATGCTGCAGCCCTGCCTGCTCATTTTCCATGCCCGGGCAGCACAGAGGAACAGCTTGTACATGGAGCAGGGGGTCCTTGGGATGGCTGCTCTGCTCCCAAAGCTGAGGGGAAGGGGCTGAGCCAGGCAAGGAGCAGCTGCATGATAAAAAAAGTACTTTTGGGGTGAAGAGAGGGGAAAACATCACTTTGGAGGAGATGACAAGAGCCCTAGTCCGTGGGCCTGCTTGCAATACACACAGGGATTCTGTCACTGTTCTCAGATGCTGAGAATTTTTGCAATTCCCATTTTCCAAGCACAGACCTGGCTCTGACCCATGGAAACAGCTACATCTCCCCAGAGCCCCCAAGCTCTGGGCAGTCTGATACAGTCCTTGCCCTGAGGCTGCCAGCATCATAGCCTGGAAAGCTCAACCCCAGGTGATGCAAAGTATTCCAGAAATAAAACACATCTCCCTAGTGCCTCAAACCCAGCACCCAACTCCAGTGGAAACCTCTGATCTTGTTCCCTCTGTATCTCAGCTCATTGTCTGGAGCACAGATCCTGCAGGAGAGATCCTGAGGCAGGGTCCTGGCAAACCAGAGATAGGAGCTCACCCATGTAACCCAGAGGGTACAGCTGGGGCACGGACAGCCCCAAGTTCAAGGGCTCCTGACCCCCTCAGCACTCAGTTTTGCAGGTCCCACAGCGTTTGCTGAAGGTTGTTTCCTCCTGCGTAATTCGGGCGGTGAGCGATGCTCGTCTCTCCTGAGACAGCACCTCGCTTTCCACGAGGCTTGTCTTCACCAGGGCGTCTCACAGTTTCCAAACAACGACGAAAGATATGTCACTGATGTTCTTCCTCCCCTTTTTGAGTGTTTTACAGTGAATGTTTGGCTGCTGCCTACACACACCTGCGTGACTTTGGGATGGTGGCTGCAAGAGCAGACCCAGAGACCCTGGCAGTCCCTGCAGCCCTGCCTTTCCCCTCCAAGGTCCTTATTTTAAATTGGCTCAATCCAAATCCAAACTCGCCAGGAGGCTGCCCAGCCACAGACCAGCCAAACAGCTCTCCATCACTCTTCTACCTCCCACATCTCTGTAGGAAAGTAATAAAGCTTTACCTCCAGCATACAGGCTGGAGCACCAAGGCCATGGCAGAGAGTTGGCACAGCAAGGTTTCCCCAGCCCTCATCTCTGAGCTGGGGGGATGCCAGCCTCTGGCACAGCCTGTCTGGGACTGGAGGGTGCATGGGAGCTAAAAGATGGGTACAAACTGCTCTTGGGAGGATCTGACCAGGCAGGGAAAGGAGAAGACAGTCACCATCAAGTGTTAGGTAAGAGCTGTCATCCATGAGGCTTTGGGAAGCTGCTTTGTATCACTCTGTAGAACTGGCTGAGAAACCTGTGACATGTCTGAACCTGAAAACAGGTCAGCAAAATGCCCGACACGAGGATTTTTGGTATGAGCAGGGTGAGGGTGCTACATTTCACCCCTGAAAAATAATAAAGGCAATTCCAGTGCAATACCACAGCTTGCTGGGGAATTACCAGGGCAGAGCCTTAACCAAGTATCCGATTTCCTTGGGGGAATAATCAAAAACCCCTAAATGCCAGCCAATCCAACAAACCCACATTTCTGGGGAACAGAGAAGAACCAAACCCCAGCAGCCTAGGGGGAGGGTTTTGGATCTTCTGCAGTGCATGGATATTTATCTCTTCCAGAAGATCTTCATGCAACATGTGCGTGCTCCCTAAAGGTGTCCTCATAGGGCCCATGGCACCGTGTGTACATAGCACTAGGTGTGATAGATTTCTTTGCCAGGTGGTTTTGCACTTCAGTTCAGGGAGGTACTTTGCAGGCATAAATCCCATCTCTGTGCTTGGTCTCCTGGGACCCCCCATCTCCCTGTGTCACAGAAAACATGGCTGGGAAAATCCTGCACATCAAGGCATGACAAGAATCCATCAGTTTAACCACAGGGTGGCTGCCTGTCCTGCTTCTAGGTGGTATGATCCTGAGATTAGCTCAGTTGGTCAGAGCATGATGCTAATAACACTGAGGTTGTGGGTTTGATCCCTGTATGGGCCACTCACTTAAGAGCTGGACTTGATGAGCTTTGTGGGTCCCTTCCAATGCAAAATATTCTGTGAAATCTCCTGTGTCACTTCTCTGTATCACCTTGTGCACTGCAGGGAAGATGAGCACAGAGGACTCTAGCAATGGGACCTCTCCCACCCCACCTCTCCTTGGGCTTCTGGTTTCAACCACGGAGCTGGTCCCACCCAGCATCCCATCCCCTGAGATGAGAGACCCACTGTCTGTCATCGTCGCACTCGTCTGCATCTTCCTCCTCCTGGCGACCTTCCTCATCTTTGTCACCCTCTGCAAGCCAGCAGCACTGGACCAGTCCCTGTCTGGACCCCAGGAGTGGATGCCCCACCACCCACTGGATGCCAGTGAGCCCCAGCTGAGGCTCTGGAAGCGCCTGGGCTCCCTGAGGGGCTCCATCAGCAGCTTCAGGAGGAGCAAGCCAGTGTCTCAGAGCCAGCTCTCCTGCCCCAGGAGCTCCCCTGCCAGACAGGACTGGGACATCATGGAGTCCACCAAAATGTGATCTCGCTCTGCTGTTCTTTCCCAAGCTTTTGGTTCAGGCTCAGTTCCCTCCTCAAGCATCCCTTGGTATCCTGGGCACCCTGTCAGAGCCCCTTTGAGCAACTCATTTCCAGGCAGTGGCTCTGTGAGGCAACAGGAGATTTTGCAATTTCAGGTTTCCAAATGCTTTCCAGGTTACTGTTTCCTGTCAGGAAAGGTGGAGGCATCCAAACTACACCCACATGCATCTATAACCGAGCAGCCAAAAAAAAAAATCCTGCTGCTTCATTTCTTTTGGAAAACATTGTGCAAATTGTGCTGCACCTGAACAAACAGCTTGGAAGAGAGCGGAGCAACCTGGCTGCCTAAAGAGGGGCATCCCAGGGCAAACCTGCTCCACAAAAAAGCAATCCTCAGCTGAGATCTCCCCACTGAGCTGTGCTCCTGAGCAGGTGGAGGGAGGCTCGTGTCCCCAGTGTGCTGCCTGGTCCCTGCCTTCCCCCTTCCCATGCACCTCACTGGGCTGCCTGGGACATTCCTGCTCTCTGGCCCTGCACTGCCTGGCTTTGGGAGAAAGGGATGGGGAAACATTCAGAAACTGTCCTGTTGCTGTAGGGACGCGGGGATGTATTTGAAGGGAGAGACCTTCTGTAACAAATGGTTCCCACTGAAGGTGGAAATTAAAGTAAAGCCAGGTGATGATCCATTTCTGTTTCCCTCTGGTGTTGTTCTGCAGAAAACAAACTTCCCCCAAATACCTCCTCTCCTTTGCCACAAAGGGCCACTTGGAGGGGTACCGCCCTCTTTTGGGAAGCGAGTTCTAAGAAAAGGCACTTTGATGCCAGTCAGACTCGAGTTTCCTCCATTCTTTTGATTTGCAAAATCAGCTCAGATTGAGGAGTCCCAGGCAGGGCTTCTCTCTGCCTACAACTCCACTCTGGGACTACGGGCAGCTGCTTGACCCCAGAGACATCACCTACACCGTGCCACAGCACAACAGGTGATGAGGAGCCACAGCACTCCTGCTTGGGGACGGGTTACCCTGAGCACGACACACGGCTCCCAGCAAACCTTTGTTGCAACAGGCAAAAGGCTCCTTTCTTCTCTCCCCGTGACTCACCCTGCCTGCCACAGCCGGGGACAAAGCTGCCCCTTTCCTTGTGCTGGGAGAGGTATTCAGGCAGGAGGAGCCTTCCCAGGGCCCTCTGCAAAGAGCCTTTGGTGCCCGCTCCAGAAGAGCCCTGGGTTTGAAGGGATGCTGGAAGGCCTGGGAGGCCGGTGTGAATGCCTGCATTCATTCGCTGCTCACTGAGCCATTCAGCCCTGCCACTGCTCCCTCAAAGAGAAACAAAAATGAAAGCAGAGTCCAAATGCTTTTCTCCCTCCGTTTTTTCAACCCCTCTTCGAGCATCTCTTTGCAGGCGCTCTTCTCCCTCCCCCTTGAGATCTCTGCCTTGTGAGAAGGGAGAAAGCAGGGATGCAGCCAAAGTGGCCTCGCCAGCACAGGGCTTGGCTTTTCCCCTCTCACCCCCCTGCAGAAATGGGGTGAATTTCTTAATTTTCCCTTGTTCTTTGCTGCCTTCTCCCCAGCGCTCACAGTCTCTGTGAGCAAGAACACACCTCTCTCACACACACTTCTCCAGGGGAAGACACCGCTGACAGAGAGAGAGAAAATCTCTGCCCTGGGCTTCCTGCAGCTCACAGTTAGTGGGGGGACCCCCTCCTCCCACCCAAGGGTGGAAAAGCCACGTGCCTGTACTATGCTGCTGGCGGCCGGGATGTCCTCGGGGACGCTGACTTCGTAGCTGCTCTGGAGGAAGATGGGCCGGTTGTCGTTGACGTCCAGGACGGTCACGTACACGGTGGCAGTCCCGGTGCGCCGGTTCCCGGTGGGGCCGTTGTCTGTACGGGAGGGAAGGGGAAGGGGGGGGAGGTTCAGTCACCTCTACCTCTGAACTAAAATCCTTCGTCTTTTCTGCAGCTTCCAAATCCCACGCTGAACCACGGGTTTGGGTGTTTTGGTTTTTTTTTTTCCTTTCCTATCCCGAAAGGAAAAGGAAAAGCCAAACCACCCCCAAGCTCTGCCAAGGAGCCCAGCGAGGCTGGAAACGCAACTGGTCGATAGAGAGGATTTGCAATTCTGTACACTGAGTAATGTGCGCTGGAAGGGACTGCTGGAGGCCAGGGATCTGGGAGATGAACACAGGTAGGGGTCTGGTGAGTTTTCCATAGCCACAGCTCAGCTTATAGTCAAGGAGCACCAGGATACGTTGATGTTCCATAGACAAGGACATGGCAGCATGGCTCTTGGATTTGCAGGAAGGATGAGGCACTGGGAAGCATCGGTTGGGTTTGTTTTTTTCAACATGCCTGATGCAGTGAGTGCTAAGCCCACCCAGCTGGAGCCCATGGGATCTGGTTCCTGGGAAAACACAGGCAGCCTGACATCCATCGGAGGAACATAACAGACCCTTTACCCCTTGGGATCTGGTCCTGTGTGCCCAGCTGGTGCAGCATCCCTGCTGCAGCCCCCGTGGCACCTGCGATGCTGTGCCCCCGAGATTTCTGACTGGTCACTTATTTCTCCTTTCAAAAGGGGCATCCAAGTGCTCTGTAAAGAGGCATGTCATTATAAAGCTCTGGGGGTGACAGCCAAGCTGTGTTTGGCACACGGGCCCTCTGCACGTGCCAGGTGGCTCGGGGTTAATCAGCAGCCACGGAGCCAAGGGCTGGCATGGATTAGGGGAAGGTTGTTGTGGTGCTGGCATTTTTGGGTGGAGGGTTGCCCTGGACAGTGCAGAGCCTCTCAGGATTGGGGGGCCCCACCTTCCCCAGGGGAAAGGGGCTGGGCAAACCTGAGAGGTGAATATACTGTCTGAAAAAGTTATGGTGGGACCAGGACATACTAATTCACATGAGTTGTGAAATGTTAACACCAAGCACAGGCTGGGGTTTACAGAGTGCCTCAGAGGTTGCTGCCTCTCTGACACACCTGCACGGCCACCCCATGGAGCTGTGTGGCAGTGGTCCCATGGGATCAGTGGGAAATCCTTACCAATGGCTTCCAGAATCAGTGTGTACGATGCCACGGTCTCCCTGTCCAGACTCACGACTGTCCTGACCACCCCATCCCTGAAGCCAACGCTGAATTTGCCATCCTGGTTCCCACCTGCAGCAAAGGACAAGGACCAAGGAATCATAGAATCCTGGAATGTTTTGGGTAGGAAGAGACCTTAAAGATCATCTTGTTCGATCCCCTGCCATGGGCAGGGACACCTTCACTAGACCAGGTTGCCCAGAGCCCCACTCCAACCTTGGACACTTTTAGGGATGGGGCATCCACAACTTCCCTGGGCAGCCTGTTCCAGTGCCTAACCACTCTTTCAGTGAAGAAATTTTTCCTAATATCTAATCTGAATCTTCCCTGGTGCAACTTGAGGCCATTTCCTTGGATTCTGCAGCCTGGGCACGGGGTCAGCCCAGCTGTGGAAGGATGATCTCGTATCTTGTCCTAGGCAGAGCTGCTCTGCAGCAGAAGTGGGCAGAGCACCTTCCCTCTGCCTCATGGAACGCTGTGCCAGCCTCACAGAACCAATGGCCGTAGGAAAAGCTGAATCATAGAAGGGCCAGATCATTTCCTGAACGCTTTGGAAGCAAGCTGGGGTAACGCTGCATGTGAACTGCGGTACCTGTGGGACAACACACCCCCTTTCACTCGCAGTGAGGCCGGAGGGGCTGCGACATGAGTCGCCAGGCTACTACTGTGGAAAAAAGGACTCTCTGCTGACACTTCTGATTTCACCCTCTTCCTGCGGGCTCAATGCCACACATACAGTTTGCAAATCAAAGTGTAGCCAGGGGGTTCCCCAGTCTCCTGTTGCAGGAGCTGCAGCTGCAGTGAGAGCCCAGCACTGCCCGGGTGGCATCGCTGCCACTGAACCCCACCACCACACAGGGATATAGAGTGCCCCAAAATTCCATTTATGGCTTCCAAGCACAAGCACATGGGAATGCCACCCCAGCCCTTGCTCCCCAGCCATGTCCTGCCCTTCCTGGTTGTGTCCCAGGGACGCTGGGGGTCAGTGGTCGCCCCCAGGCAGGGGACAGCAGAGTGGTCAGCATGGCAGGAGCCAGGCAGGGCTGTTCAGCAGAGGGCGATGCCGGACAAGGTTTGCAGGGGCTGGGAAAGGCAGTGCTGAAGTGCAGAACACCCTGGCCAAGGTCTGGGGCAGCCCTGCAGCCAAAGCTCCTGTTTCACGTGGGGTTCATACCTGTGATGAAGTAGCTGAGCTCGGCGTTCAGCCCCACATCAGCATCCGTGCAGTTGAGCCGGACCACTTTAAAATCCCGGGCCACGTTTTCAGGTAGCGACACGTTGTAGACGGCTGGGAAGAAGGTGGGGTTCTCATCGTTCACGTCCAGAACTGAAAAGGGGAGCAGAGTTGAGTGTCCCCCTCCAGGGCTGCCCCTCCTGCAGAGGCCAGGCTGATGTCTGCCAGGCTCCCAAAGCTCCTGTCTGCTGTCCTGAGCATCCCAGGGAATGCTCTGCCTGACTCTCTCTGGCATTTGTGTGGTGTGGGTGCCTGCAGAGCAGCTGTAAGGACTGGTCCCCACAGCTGCAGGCTGTATTTACCAGCCTCTGATACATACAGATCACCCTCCTCACAGCCAAAAACCCTCCACCTTACATCACTGTAACTCAATTCAGTATTTGCACCAAACCCATTTCCATGCCCATTTGAAGAGAAAGCTGGGGCTTAAATATAAGGTCAGTATTTCCTGGTGTATGGCAGAGAGCTCTGGAGGTACAGGACCAGGAACTTCTTTTCCAAACTCAGGCCCGAGGACAATCCAGGGTCAGTTTATTTCCAGATGCTGCTCATCCTCAGCCCTAGGCTCACATGAAGCCAGTAAACAGCAACACATTAAATTAAAGACAGACCACGCGATATGGTCCAGCTCTGAACTGGGAGTGCGTGGGCTATCCAGGCACACAGCTGATGGGAATCACATGCTGAAGCA